ATTCATAAGAATATTTGACAACTGTTATTATTTTATATTACTCTGTAAATGTGTCGTTAACTATTATGGCATAACAAAAGAAGAAATAAATATAGTCGAACGAAAAATAAAAATCATTACTATGAAAATTGCGTTATATGAAAAATTTACAAAGCTTTTGATTTATCAATTAAGAAGTGATTTTACACAAGTACACATTGCAAAAGTAAATGTAAAAATATTATTCTGGAGAAATATTATTTTAATATTAAATATATCATTGCTGGTCAAATGGACCCCCCCTTTTTACATATTTTATTAAAGTATTATTAAAATTATAAACATGAATTATTAACGTCATAAATGTTATCTATATAATCTTATTAAACTATTACTAAAATTATAATTCATTCAGGCAGTTATCATTATAAAAGATGCCAGGAAACTAGCTAAAATCAATCTTATAATTTTTATAAAAAAGCACATACCAGTCACCTTTAGTATTCGATATTTTTAGTATTAAATATTAGATTTTATACTAATTTGAATATAATATATAACGTAATATGCACAAAGAGAAAAAATAATAGATAATTATTATTGTACTATTTCTTTTAATCTCTCTGATGTTTTAAATTGCAGTTACTCGTTCTCGTCATAAGTATGATTCGCAGGCGATTAAGCCAGATTTGAAATCGAAGGAAAGGAAGCAGGTCACGTGATACGCCAGGACTCTCATATAGTGGTGTGGGGCGCCTAATGAAAATCCCGGCGCATCACGTGACCTACGCCCACTCCTCCAATTTTAAACCTGGCTTGATCGCCTGTGAACCATGATTATAAATGCATAAAATCCGCGGACTAGTCACAAGTATCATCAATTAAATAATTGTGAAAATGGTCCTTCGTCCGAGGGACAATAAAAGTAACCCTAGAAAATTCACTAAGTGCAAAGAGTTAATGACTGTGCAATGTTATAGTTATAAGAATTAACGGAAGGTGTATTGCTTAGAACACATTCATTGCCAATATCGCGGTGGATTTGGGGAAAGGCGGATGCAACGATGCGTTCGCCTACATGTCTGACGAGCTGGGATACGGCTTGATTGTGTACTCCTGGGAGCAGAACAAATCATGGCGTGTTACGCATAGCTATTTCATGCCGGATCCTCTAGCCGGTGATTACAATATCGGCGGCTTGAATTTCCAATGGGGAGAAGAAGGAATTTTCGGTATGAGTCTGTCCCCCATCAACGTGAATGGATTCAGAACTCTGTTTTTCCATCCTCTCAGCAGCAGAAGAGAATTTGCAGTCTCGACAAGAATTCTCAGGGATGAACAGCTGTCGCAGGACAGCTACCACGAGTTCCAGGTACAGTATTATCTTCATACAGTAGTGCACGGTTAAATTTACGCCAAATTTGTACGGTTAAATTTATACAATAATTGTGAGGACAGCAACTAAGAAAACAGATACTTTATTAATTAAATACATTTTTTAATTTTATTAAAAATTCTACAATTTTGTTATGATTCGTAAACTGCTATTGCTCAACTTGCACAGGTTGAATCATGACTGTTATAATTAAAAGTTAATTGAAATTACGTATTATTTTTTAGTTTTTTCTGTTAATATTGTTTGACTTAATGTTTGTCTGTAAGATTATTACATTTCGCAATTATTAGTTTACCTTCAAATCCTTTAAAATGTTATTTTTCATTAAAATGGTCCCAAGTTAACTTATATTTATTAAACAATTTAATTTAATTTATAGCTTCAATATGTAATAACATTTACAAAGAATAACACATTGCATTACTATATATCAAGAATGAAATCGAAACATATAAACAATTTAATTTAGGGCATCAAGATGAATGGAATAATTTTTAATTTGTTATGATTAACTATGCTTAACGTGCAAGTTACGAGACACGACCATTTCCGAATTTTACATTTTATTATTATTAACATTGTTAGGTTCTACCAGAAAGGGGACCACTCGGTCATTGTACTGCTTCCGCAATGGACGAAAATGGTCTTCAATTCTTTAATCTAATTGATCAAAACTCGGTAGGCTGTTGGAATTCTTTATTACCATATGGGCCTCAGAATCATGCAGTTGTTGTAAGACATGACGATGCTTTAATATTTCCAGCGGACGTCAAAGTAAGTTTTAAAAGTTTCATTCTAAGTGTAATATTAACATTATGAATAGTCTATAGATCTCTGTGGCTTAATTCGTGACCTCAGATTTTAAACCGAAGTCTGTTTATCCTTCAATAGATATTTTATTCATTCATAAATGAAATGAAGGCTTTATTTATCTTGACATAAATCATTAACAGTTTCGTTTCGCATATTCCTATTACTTATTTATAATTTATTGTTTATTGAATGTAGTGAAGTAGAATGTTGTTTATTGTTGTATATCTTACAGCTTCTAAAGATTCTAAAAAAAAAAGAAAGACTAGTGCAGAAAACGAAACTCTTTTATAAACATTAAATCATGCACAAAAATTCACAGTTCAGTGATAAAATTGCGTTATTGCGTAGCAATAAAAAAGAAACTTTGCAGGACTCTTCTTTCGCTTAAACTTTCACTGATTAAAGATATCTATTTGTTTGATTTCGTTTTCTATTATTACTGCAACCATTATAGACAGAAGTGTAAGCTAGATTTCAAATCGGAGGAGTGGAGATAGGTCATGTGACACGCCGGGACTCCGGTACAGCGGAGTGGGAGGCATAATGGGTGTACATGATCATTCTGAACTACGAACGCGATGGTATTACACCGGTATAGCACAATAAGATAGGAACTCCACTCCGCTGTGTATGAGTGCCGGCGTGTCACGTAACCTATTCCCACTTCTTTGATTTGAAATCTAGCTTATTCATCTGACTAGCATGATGAAAACTTCCTTTCACTGTGAGGAAATGATTGAAACATAATATTCACATATTCAATGAACCGAATGAAAATGAAATAGGTAGCAATAATAAGAGCTTTCCAGTTTGAACGAACGTGTTAAAAAGAACGTTGATATTATTTTTAGATAAGAGGGGGATTGTTATGGATTATATCAGACAGAATGCCAAACTTTCTGATAGCGACTCTGAATTACACCGACGTAAACTTCAGAATATTGACAGTGCCCGTAAGGGAGGCCATCGCAGGCACCGTTTGTGAAAACTCACCTTGGGGATACATCAGCAACTCCATTTGGTGGGAGTAATGAATTTCGTTAATAGATTTATATTGAAAATATTAGATTTAGGATCGAAAGTTAGCAAAACAAACGTTCGAACAGCAAAAATGTTCTACGATTTTACACCAGAAGAACTTTGTAAATCAAAATTTCGACAATCACAACTTTCCTAGAATATAATTCTACATATACTGAACTACGTAGCACCATTTAATTCACTACCTTCTTCTGAGCTTCAGTAAGTTCATATATTCCATTAGCAGTCCGAGTCATTAATACAAAAAAGCTCATTAATCGTAACATTCACTTAATCGCCACTTCTAATACAGTAGTCCGCTGATTTTTGTTAATTACGTGAAATGGAGATGCGTAGATTCTGAATGCTTACGAAAATCACATCTAATAATTGTGTACTAACCACGCAGCACCGAAGCAAATGAAAATAAAAATGCTCTATATTCACGATGCCATTTATTAAAATACTATTAAACTAAAATAAGGATTGGCTCCGAATTCATTATTCGTAAATTAAAAAAAAAACTGCACGTACAGTAGCTTGAAACTTTATTCTGAAGTAGGAACAATGCCTATTCATTTATACGTCGCTTATGCTTTCCAGTAGTTGCTGGTGATAATGAATTCGTGACGATAATAAGATGTTAACGATAAGCATGTAAAGCGAAATTCCGAAATAAATAATGTATATTTTTTATTTAGGTAGACAGCGAAATTTCGTTCTGGGTCCGGTTGGACTCGGCATCCTGCCGACACGTCTATAAAACCGTCCGCCTTGCATGGGTTCGCTGTCGGTACATTACCTCGTAAATAGAACATGTCATTCAGCATTGACAATAAAGAAAGAATCAGGAAGCACGAATTCTTTCCTTCCACCTACCTTCTTTCACTTCATTAGACTCGATCATACATACTTGTTTTACCGATCGTTTAGGATCGTAATTAGTCGTTCTAGCAAATAAATTCCGATTGTGAGAAAACACGTACGTGCCGACCGAGTTTCCTCGGTGTACAGACGCATAATGCCAGGCTCTTACGCTTTTCTAAACAAGACGAGAGTCGGCAGTAGTCGACAAAAACGGCACCAGGAAGAAACTCGCAGCATTTCTCTTTGGTAGCTATTCCGCGTCGCTCATAGTTTCTACAGAAAACATCACCGAAAAGCCATTGCGGCCAACAAATCTCACGATCATTATACAAAATAGATTTATATTGCTTTTAATCGAATGGATTTTCACTTGCTCTGCCCATTTCTGGACTTTTCTGACACAATAGCCTGTTCCCAACATTTCACTGTTGCCACCTTCTATACACATTTGCGGTCGGTTTTCTGGTTAATGAAATCGCGGAGTACACTATAGACTGCGAGAATATTGCACGACGCTACACAGGATGTTAACAATTTTATTAATCAACTAATATTGTGGGATCAGTTTTGAATAAGAAAATATTGAATGCAAACTAACAGTATGAACACAGAACAAGGTACATAACATAGAGTAATGCAAATATATTAATTCATCTGAAGACGACAAAATGGTAGGTACAGTGGCGGACAAAAATTTAACACGAAGAGAAAGAATTGGTGAAAAGCACTTACTCTAATCAATCCCGACTTGTCCAACGTTTATGAACCTTAGGAGATGCAAATCTCATTTTTCGCGCGATTTTTGATACAAAGAGACACCATGGGTGTGTAAATCGCTTTTAGGAATGAAACTCGGTATAATTTATAGTATGCATCTAATGAAACCCTTATACCGTTTGTCAAAACGAGTTCGTCAAAATATACGTTGTTATAAAATACGTCAGTCTTATTCGAAACACCAATGAACTATGCAAAGAATGTGATCCGCGAAATCAGAATTAGTAAAGAGAAACGGCGCGTGTGGATTATTTTTAATATAATATTTTATTTCATCTAGAAACTGTTTCGAACTTCGTTTAAGACGAAGCGATCGCGGTTAACGGTGATGCATTTAGGTTAATTGGTCCGGCGTGAAAATAGTGAAGGAGTTGGCATGAATCAGCCAGCCCCGCGGAGCCAGATGGTCCAACTTAGCCCATTAGTTTGGCCCTTGTTTCCGATAATTCGAAGGCGACCGACCATTTCGTGCTCTGATATACGATCGGATATCGCTTTCTCCCTCCTTTGAAAATTATCCGTTTCACGCCGACGCCCGTAAAATATGGCCACGCGCCTCCCTTGTGTCTCGGAGTAACAGCATAGAACCGTCTGCAGCAATTAGTAGAATATTTTGCCCGACTTTATCCTCGATACTACAGTAACACGCTACTCGACGGAAATATTAAACGTTACAGACAAGAGAAGCTTCGACAATAATAACAATACAATAATAACTTCTGAATAAACCATCTGGTTTAAAGCTTTAATAAATAAATAAATACATTCTGATTATTGTACATAAAAGAATATACACAGTACTACTGTTGTGTGATTCTTATCTTACAAAAATATGAAATGTTCATTGTAGATTGGAAACACAAAACAAGAAATCTTTACTTTGCAATATCCAATGGACGCTTCATACAAATTTTGATGCGTTGAACACATGTCCAAAAATTATGTTTCATCATTATTTTGTTTTTAAACGTAATTTAGAAGAAGTTAAATTTTTTAATTGTAGAGTATT